GGAATTACCCAGGATCCTTCCCAGCTTTCCTCAGCTCTTCACTCACGCCAGGCACCCCCACCGGTTCCCCACCCGGCGGAGAGTCTAACACTGCGTTGGGGAAACTGAGGCCCAGAACAGGGAAGGGACGTGCCAGAGGTCACATGGCAACCTCAGGCGTCCTGGCTCCCTCCCTCCCCCCACCTCCAGCTCTAACCACTAGTCCCCACTCCCCTCCCCGGGCCAAGTCCCCCCTGCCGGTGCAGGGGCTCTGGCGGGTTCCGACTCCAGGCACGGGGCCTCTTCGGGCAGGTAGCACTGCGTGGCCTGCAGGGCAAAGTCAGCGTCGTCTGGGACGGGGAAGGAAAGCGAGATGCCGATGAATCCAGCGCGCCCGACCCCTTCCCAGCATGCAATGCAGGGTGCTTGCCCCGAGGGAGCCGGGCACGGGAGAGGGAAGGGGGACCCAGGCATCCGGGACCGTGAGTTCCAGCCCCCGTATTTACCCTCCACATCTGTCTCACTCTCCTCCCCCGGGCCCCACGTTGGCTCCTCCGTGCCTTCGGTGTCCACCACCTTGGCCTCTGGGCTGACATGGGACTGGGGGGCTGGGTGCTCCTCCCCACGCCTCTGGGCTGGGCCCCCCATAGAGCCTGGTGTCCGGCTGAGCTCCGCCTCAGAAGCCTCCTCCACGTCGGTGTCACTATCGGCCGCAGCCCGGCAGAGCGTCTGTTGGCCAACATCTGGAGTCTCCTCCACATCTGTATCGCTGTCCCCAGCCACCGCAGGCTCCCTTTGTCTCCCAACATCTGGTTTCCCCTCGGCCTCCTCCACATCTGTATCACCGTCCCCAGCCACCGCAGGCTCCCTTTGTCTCCCAACATCTGGTTTCCCCTCGGCCTCCTCCACATCTGTATCACCGTCCCCAGCCACCGCAGGCTCCCTTTGTCTCCCAACATCTGGTTTCCCCTCGGCCTCCTCCACATCTGTATCACCGTCCCCAGCCACCGCAGGCTCCCTTTGTCTCCCAACATCTGGTTTCCCCTCGGCCTCCTCCACATCTGTATCACCGTCCCCAGCCACCGCAGGCTCCCTTTGTCTCCCAACATCTGGTTTCCCCTCGGCCTCCTCCACATCTGTATCACCGTCCCCAGCCACCACAGGCTCCCTTTGTCTTCCAACATCTGGTTTCCCCTCCTCCACATCTGTATCGCTGCCAACATTTTCGGCAGGCCGATGGTCTGTGGGACGCACGTCTGGTTTCCCCTCCGGCCCTGCCACATCTGTCTCTCTGCTGCCAGGGAGAGCATGTCGATAGCTCTTTGTTACAACATCTGGATTCTTGGCCACCTCTTCCTCCACGTCGGTATCACTGCCCACGTCAACGGCAGGCACAGAGGTGTTGGCAGCCACACCTGGGTCCCTGGCCTCCTCCACATCTGTATTGCTCCCTACTTCAATGCTGGGCTGATGGCTCCTTGGACCCACAACATCTGGATTCCCGCCTGCTTCCTCCACATCTGTGTCGCTCCCCACATCAATGCTGGACTGATGGCTCCTTGGGCCCAAAACATCTGGATTCACACCTGCCTCCTCCACATCTGTGTCACTCCCCACATCAACACTGGGCTGATGGCTCCTTGGGCCCAAAACATCTGGATTCACACCTGCCTCCTTCACATCTGTATGGCTCCCCACCTCAACACTGGGCTGATGGCTCCTTGGGCCCACAACATCTGGATTCCCGCCTGCTTCCTCCACATCTGTGTCACTCCCCACATCAACGCTGGGCTGATGGCTCCGTGGGCCCAAAACATCTGGATCCCTGCCTGCCTCCTCCACATCTGTATCGCTGTCCTCAGGGGCGGCAGCCTGCCTCTTCCTTCCTTGCAGCACATCTGGATGCTCCGGGGCTGCCTCCACGTCTGTATCGCTGTCCCCATTTCCGGCCAACTGCTGGCCCCTCGGAGGAACATCTGGATTCTCTACTGCCGCTACCTCCTCTGCATCTCCACCCCCGGGAAGACCGTGCTGATGGCGGTGCTGCGCCACATCTGGACTTCCAGCAGCCTCCTCCTCCACATCTGTATCGCTGCCCTCGTCGAGAGCAAGGGGATGGCCCTCTGCAGCCACCATATCTGGATTCACACCTGCCTCCTCCACATCTGTATTGCTCACCACATCAATGCTGGACTGATGGCTCCTTGGGCCCACAACATCTGGATTTTCGCCTGCCTCCTCCACGTCTGTATCACTCCCCACATCAACACTGGGCTGATGGCTCCTTGGGCCCAAAACATCTGGATTCACACCTGCCTCCTTCACATCTGTATGGCTCCCCACCTCAACACTGGGCTGATGGCTCCTTGGACCCTTAACATCTGGATTCCCACCTGCCTCCTCCACATCTGTGTCACTCCCCACATCAACGCTGGGCTGATGGCTCCGTGGGCCCAAAACATCTGGATCCCTGCCTGCCTCCTCCACATCTGTATCGCTGTCCTCAGGGGCGGCAGCCTGCCTCTTCCTTCCTTGCAGCACATCTGGATGCTCCGGGG